TATAAATATACATACATACATTACATACGTACATACATATATATATATAAATATGTAATAATTCCCTCTAACATACTTTTAATTAACTCTTTAATGATCTATAAATAATCTTTAATTCTTAGGTTTAAAAATAAGCGTTGTAATCTTAATCGTAATCGGCTAAACCGATTGCCATAGCCCGCGCATTTTAGCCAATCAGATGCCCAAAGGAAAACGCCTATTCAACGTAATCGTGCTCTCTTTCTCTGCTTGCCGCCATCACGTAAGAGTGCAAATACTTACTGGTTTTTTTTTGTCTTTGTGTTGTGTCCTCCAAAACGCCGCTGTCTATTCAAGGTTAACGTAACGTAATTGTGCTCATAATAAAGGAGGTAAAGCTATTCTGAAGACGTCATTACTGAATCAAAATTGGTATAATCTTCCACTCCGGCCAACACTACTTCAATCTATTACATATATATATATATATTGCATGAAAAAAATGCAGTAAATCATAATGCGGTAAATAAAGGGTTAAAGTCACTACTTTGGTATGTAAGCATTTAGGAGAACATAAGGTTCAGGCTCAAATGTCTTCCTTCTCACTTAACCATTGTTCAAAATTACGAGATATATCACCAATAGTTCTTGTGCTGCCCTGCAATATTACTAAGTGGCCGTGGTAGCCAAGTGGTCAAGGTATCGGATCGTGGCTGGCCTTGTCACGAGTTCGAGCCCAGTACCACTAAAGATCCGCCGTGTAGGGCAGAGATGCACGTTAAATATATCGAGAGCTTAAACGTCCTCCCGTTGGTGTGGTGTGGTAGTTAGGAGAGGGGTGTCAGCTCAGGTGTCGTCCACGGCACTTGACCATGGTTCAAAATTACGTGGTTCGTAGCCAAAAGCTCTCGTGTAGCTGAACAGTGCGACGTTAATATTCACTCACTCACTCTAAACTTCCACTCTAAAGTGAGGATTTTTTGAGCCACAATAGATTTAACGTGCATCAGACTTTCTACACGGGTAGTCTTCGGTGACACAAGGTTTCGAACTCCGCGACTCGACAACGTCCTCCATGGGATCGCGACCATGACCACTCAGCTACTGTTGTCTTTGTAGGGTTGCAGTAGCAGAGTGGTCATGGTTGCGAGCTCGTGACCGGTGTTACTTCTGTCGAGTCACAGGTTCATATGCAAAAGCTACTCAAGAACCGTTATGTGGGTGGAATTAATTCTACATGTTGGAAACGGAAGTATTCATTTAACTTTTTCCATCATTTTTATGCGTCTGCAGCGGCGCCTCCTTCTGTAAGTCGCAAACAACAAAGGACATGAATAAAAGCCCTTAACGACTGGTCCGAAGAGGGATTCCTTTCATCTCAGTAGTCTAAGGCATGCACGGCGTCACTGCGGACTGGTAGGTCGGTGGTTCAAATAAAAACACCCCAGCCAAGGTCAACAGCTTGTTGCCGAACGTCGTTGGAGAGGGAGTGTCAGCTCAGGTGTCGTCCACGTCACTTGACCATGATTCAAAATTACGTGGTCCATCACCAAAAGCCCTCGTGTAGCTGAACAGTGCGACGTTAATATTCACTCACTCACGTAATATTAAATCAAAGAATTCATAGAAGTATCTGTGTGAATAAAGAGTGTTTAGTTTATACATTGAAATTAAAACCTACTTTTAACCAATGTTATATTACGTCTGTACAAAGAATTATTGGTAGAGAAATAGAAAGTCTTTTCGGAAAGATTTTCTTGAAGGAGGTAAGTTGAAAAAGAATAATTCATCTGCTGTTATATATTTATCTCTACAAAATTCGATTCATTCAGTTTAATACTCTAAACAGAAGGATTAGTGTATTATATAGTAGCCGAGTGTTAATGAACTCATGGCCGGTGTTGTCAAGTCATGAATTCGAGTCCTAGTGCCACTACAGTACGGTGACTGATGCACATAAAATCTGTGGAGCCCTTAAGTCCTCACATTTACGCGTTTAAGTTTGATGAGTAGGGTTCCAGTTCATATGTCATCCTCGTCATTTGATCGAGGTTTTAAATTACGAGGTCTGTAAGTGAGTGAATGAATATTAACGTCACACTGTTCATTCACACTAGGGTTTTTGGACCTCGTAATTTTGAGCCATGGTCAAGTAACGAGGACGACACCTGAGCTGGTATCCCCCTCTCCTAACTACCACATCCATACGAGGTCTGTAGCCAATAGCTTTAATGTAGCTTAATAATACGACGTTCATAAAAAAATCAAACCAGTATTATATATGAATTATAATATTACTTACTTACCAATAGAATATTAAACAAATTTAGGATGGAAACATTACAAAATGAACTCCGTCACATCAATGTAGGCACTGGCTAACGCTCATGAGTATAAGTAAGCTTATAATCTCCCACACGCTCATAAAGAAACTAAAGAACAGTAACGCAGCCAATGTTCCTGATGTTGGGAGTCGCTCCATGATTATCATTAAAGCTCTTAGTGCATTGCTTTAGAGCAGTGGTCTCCAACCCCCGGTCCGTGGATCAAATACTACCGGCGCGCACAAGACGCATTAAATCATTTCCCTTTTATTTACTGTGGTATATTTTTCTTGGGTTTGGGCTACTTTTTATGAAAATCACTTTATATTCCTTGTTAAACCACTTTATATTCATTTTTTGATGTAGCTATATTTTATTCTGAAGTCATAATTGAATACAATTAAATTAAAATTATTAAATCAAAACAGTCTAAAATATAAACAATCAACGTCCTCCCCCTTAGCGGGCCACGGTAAAATTAACAAACGGTGACCGGTCCGCGACGATAAAAAGGTTGGGGAACACTGCTTTAGAGTGCCGCATTAATAAAAAAACTAAACCATATATTTTTTTTTCCTTCATAATTATCCATTTTCTTTAGGTAATATCCATAACAAGTGTCATATAAGTGATTAAAAATCATTTTAGTTTATAACTTAAATTTAAATTATAATTTTTTTTCTTTCACTTGTAATGTAAAACGGATAAAAAATTCCGCTGTATTTCATTAAAATTACTGGGTTATTAACTATGGATAAGAATAGTCGACTTTGAGTTGATTTTTAATTTACACCATACCATGAAGCAATAGAAGAGCTATTGATGAGAACGACACCTGAGCTGGAAACCCTCCCTCCTCCAAACATCCACACTACGCCAGTGGGAAGGCCTTGAGCCACGACAGATTTACCGTGCATCATCCCCTCTATACGGTGGGTCGAGTAGCATCAGGACTTGAACTCATGACTCATTAGGTACGAGCTCATGACCTTAACCACTCGGCTACAGTGGTTGCTAATCGATTTGGAGTGAGTGAGTGAATATTAACGTCGTACTATTCAGCTACGCATGGGCTTTTGGTGATGGACCTCGAGATTTTGAACCGAGGTCAAGTGACGAGGACGATACTTGAGCTGGCACCTCCCTCTCCTTTCCACACCACACCAAATGTAGACGTTTGAGCCTCAACATATTTAACATACATCGCCTCCCTCTGCACAGCAGGTCTTCAGCGGTACTAGGTTCGAGCTCATGACACGCCAGTCACGAGTCCCTTACCTTGACTACTAGGCTACTGCGATCACCTAATCGACTTGGAAAAGAAGAGCCAAAGATTTAATATTACAGTCGGACCTCTATTTAACGAAGTAGCTAAATCCAGAAAAAAAGTTCATTATATGGAAAATTCGTTAGACTCATCTTTTAATATGCTTTAGAGACCCCATAAAACAAATTTTAAATTCATAAACACTAAATATTATTTTAAAAAAGTAATCATTCACACTCTTTTTGAAAATTTTTATCTATTCATTTATATATTTTGCCCATCAAAAAGAAATCCGCTAGGAGAACAAGGGGGAAAAAACATTGTTTAGGAGTAACAGTATACGTTTTCAAATTTTTTTTTTAAAAAAAATTTATGTTAAAATTAATGAATTTTTAACGACATTTTCTAATTTTAAGTCTGCAAGTAATTTTAAACATACATTATTTTATAACCAATAATTTTAAGCATACACTACCACCATGTATCCTTAAATTTATATATATAATTACTGAATTTCATTACTCTAGGTAAGTTAGGCATTTGATAAAACCACACACAGTTCACAAGGCCATTGATTACCCTAAAATGTGCCAAAAGAGAATAATTTGAAAAATATCCAGATATATTTTAAACACACAAGTAATATGTATAAAAAAAATTTAAGTCAGTTCTTACTTAGGTCAACAAAGAATTTTATTTTAGTTACTTTTTATTAAATAATTACAATTAATATAAATATGTATAAACATATGACAGAATCACAATATTAAGTGGCAAAACACCTTTTATAAATTAACATTAAAAACTTTTCAACCACATTAAATTTGTAATTGCATTTTTTAACAAAAGTTGAATATAATAGGTAAGAATTTATCTTAAAACCAGTGTAAAAGGAATGCTGACGACTAACTAGCATATAATTATTCAGGTTAAGTTAAATCTTCATCACAAATTTGACAAAAGCTGTTTTATCCAATAGTGCTGCTATCTCTAGAGGGATAATATCAACCGAAATACATCTTTTTTTAACTGTAATTAATTAAATTTAATTAATGAATTATTATTTGAAAAAACTGTATTAACATCAAGTATCATCCGCTACAAGTTTAAAAAAAATGTGTTTGAACTTGAGTAGATGAATAATATATAAAAAAAAAAATTAAGTCAATTCCTACTCAACAAAGAAATTTCATTTTAATAGCTTTTTTATTAAATACTTACAATTAACATAAATATGTATATACGTATGACAGAATCACAATATTAAGTGACAAAATAGAAAGCGATTTTCCTTGCAATTTTCCATTTTCCTTTCTATATAGGGTGTTGGACTATTTTTGTTTTGTGCTTATTACTTATTCATTAATTAAATTTAATTATTCTAATAAAATAGTATGGTAAAAAAGGAATCACATTCTCAGAAATTAGGCCATCCCAGGTGGGATTCGAACTCACGACCTTTGGATTAGAAATCCAACGCACTACCCATCTAACCATATCGCTACAGGGACACAACGAACGATTTTCATTTCTATATATGCTGTTGGACTATTATTTTTGTTTGTTTCTATTTCTTCATTTTTCTAAACTTAATTAATGAATTAATATTTGAAAAAAACTGTATTAACATCAAGTGTCATCCACTATAAGTTTTAAAAAATGTATTTGAACTTGAATGGATGAATAGAAAGTATTTTATTAACGATTGAAATTTTGAATGAGATATATAAATATATATAGAGAGAGTGTGAACTAATAGAAATTGAAAAAAGGGAGCGAAAAAAAAAAAAAAAAAAAAAAAAACCCCCCAAAAGAAAAAATGTTCATTAAAAAAAAAAAAGCACTTCGCTATTTGGAGGTTATTTTACGAAGAAAATAGCAAAATGTTCTGGGTTCCAGGAAAAAGTTCGTAAAATAGAGGCTCTTTATATGGTTTGACATTAAAATCATATTACACTCATTAAATTACAATAGTTTAAAACACAGGTATTGAAAGACTATTCAACTAAAGTGGCAGGTGGCCCTTTTAGTAGAACAATCGCATTGAGATAAAAGCCAAAATTACTGCATGATTAATTTTCATCTGATTGATTTTATTCCTGGGCCAAACGAGAAGTTTGCACTTCTTGGTACTTCTTAAATTGGTTCGGTGATCCCGTGTTACTTGTATCAATTGAACTATACAACTGAAATTGGAGAAAGTCCCTTTACGGTCAAATGCTCAATTAGATTTAATTGGTAGGAGCGCGCGCATAGAAATTCTATACATTTTTACTATTTTCATTCTCTCCAGTCATTGACCTCACTTTTATATTAATTTGATCGTAAGTGACTCAAAGTTCACCTCAGTTTTTTTTTTGCCTAGGCAAATAAACTAAATGTGACCTTACAGTAATGTATCTTTATATGCAAAGCATATGGATTAAATTCATAGAATTCTAAACCGACAAAATTTGAATGTTTCTTAATAATTCTATCCGACTTTTGATATTAAATCTGAGGTTCTTAAGCTGAAACTCGTTGAAATTTCCCAGATCAATTTTTTAAAAATTTTCTCTTGTATTGTAAAATTCTTTTATAGTCTCTAAAGGAGCTTTTACGATATTAAATTAAAAGCCATTTTTTCTTTATATAAAGATAAGATGATACATCGCTTATTAGTGGCTTGAAATTAGAAGACCAACAATAGCTCTTGTGTAGATGAAGTTGTTTTAATTCAGAAACTAAAAACCTTAGTGACACAAATGCTTCATCATTTACATCAGTGTTTCCCAAAGTGGTCTATATAGACCCTCAGGGGTCTACGACGACCTCCAAGGAGTCCACTCAAGAGGGAAAAAAATTTGGAGGTCCATGAGGTGTAAATGGGGGTCTACGATAGTGGCTCTCATTAAACCAGATTGCGATTTTAATTATAAAAGGAAATTTAATCAAGTGGAAACCAGATTTACCTATTTAATAGATTTATTGGCAGTTTCAATGCGAGAGCACAATTTTTTTTTAAAACAAGGACCACATTTCAGCCTTGCTTGTGTGTGCCAGAATTAAGCTAAAAGAGTATAATTTTGAACACCTCAAATTTTCCCAGTTTCACAATTGTCATGGACAATCTGCCAGGAAAAAGGGATTTTAACCAACATTCAACATTTAAATGCCCTTTTTTTGGATTTTGAAACTAGGTTTGAAAATGTTTTGACTATCGTAATACCACAATAGGCAATGAATTCATATGATCATTTTGAAAAAAAAGTCAGATTACAAGAACTAGACACTAGGAATAGGCACTAAGCAAGATCTTAAAAGTTAAGTTTATAAACGGATGCCAATAATTTTGGCTTTAAAAAGATATACCTGTTATTTATTCCCCATTATGGAATATCTTGAGAAAGTTTTTAATTGTTTTTCCGATTGAGAAGGAGTTTTTCATTGCGCTTGCCATTCTCCAAAACAAGAAAGAAAAAAGACTGGACACTATTAACCGAGGAGATATTTAGGGTTAAACCTGACAAGATTGATGCCAAATGTTGGAAATTTGTTTTTGCATTCCCAGATTCATCCCTCCCACTAAAAGCATTTGTTAGTTGCTCAGTTATTTTATTTAACAGTTATTTTATGCATTAATTAAATTTTCATTTAATTAATGCATAAAATAGTGTTTAAAAACTAATAACTTGTGAATTAATTAAATTTTAATTTAATTAATTAACATGGGTTTTCTTAATTTTTAAACACACTATACTTCACTACAGTTAAAAATTTAAATCTTTAAGGATGCAGCTCTATACCTGCTATCAAAAATCCATTTAAGTTGAATTTGCAAAAATTTAATATTAGGTAAATAAGGGTATACTCCAAACCGATTGATTGAATATTAACGTCGCACTGTTCAGCTACACGAGGGCTTTTGGCGACGGATCACGTAATTTTGAACCATGGTCAAGTGACGTGGACGACACCTGAGCTGGCACCCCCCTCTCCTAACTACCACACCACACCAACAGGAGGACGTTTCAGCTCTCTACAGATTTAACGTGCATCACTGCCCTACACGGCGGGTCTTTAGTGGTACGGGACTCGAACTCGTGACCAGGCAAGCCGCGATCCGATACCTATACCTCTCGGCTACCGCGGCCACACTCCAAACCGAAAAACCTGTCAAGGGGTCTATGAGGCAAAAAAGTTTGGGAACCTCCGATTTACATTCTCAATATAGTATTTTAATAAATAATTAGTTTATTTATATATCTTACTGGAAGTGCTTTAATAGCAACAGGGTGAGCGAGTGAATATTAACGTCGCATTATTTAGCTACTTGAGGTGACGGACCTCGTAATTTTGAACCGTGGTCAAGTGACGAGGACGACTCCTGAGCTGACACACCCTCTTCTAACTACCACACCACACCTACAGGAGGACGTTTGACCCTCGACATATGTAACGTGCATCAGTAAGCATCCATACGTAACGTGCATCCATAAGTCCGTTACCTTGACCATTAGGCTAACGCTTTCACTTAATAGCAACGGGAGTTAGATACATGGGCCCCCCTCAGGGGGCTCATCTTCTTTAGGTGGGTACGGGTGTCACAATCCCGAGGTACCCTAGTGATATTTTCCTTTTCCGAAGGGGTTTACTGTCTTTGGTAAACACGGGTGTCACGACCCCGGGGTACCACAGTGATCCTTCTCTACTTTCGACCCTCCATCTTGTCATCCAATTTCTCCTTTCCCCGTCCAGACCTATGAATGTTTGGGGCAGTATAGCCAAAACTGGTTCTTGCGCCATAAAACACCAAACTCACTCACTTAGATACATGGGCCAAAGACCAAAATATGAGTACATTGAAAGTTAAAGTATAGACATATAGTGACGTTTCGTTATAGGGAATGTG